TTTAGGTCTAAACAATCAATAGGATTCTTTTAGAACACAGTCCTAAACATTCACTATGATTATATTAATCAGATAGGATCTCTTTAAAAAAAATAATAATAATAATGGAGTGAGTGTCTTTAAAACAGGACTACTAAGAGGAGAGGCTGCACTAACTAGGGCTACTGGAAATCAGTGTATAGTTCTCTTCTGTCTGGAGGTCCAATCCTCATGCAATAATTTAGGCCATATCTACACCACCACTTATGTCGGCAACACTTATGTTGTTGAGGGGTGTGACATGCTGACATAGCTACCGCCGCTCATGGAAGTGGTTTAATTATGTTGATGGGGCCGTCGGCATAGACTGGCTACACGAGAGATCGGTACCGCTGTAAGGTCTCTAGTGTCGCTATAGCCTTAGAGTGGATTGATTGGTGGAAGAAGGGGGGGGAGAAGCTGAGAATACTGCCGGAACATTAGCAAATTCATTTGGTTTCACTGCTTGACAAAGAGATGCAGTTCACTGGGGTTTGCATGAGGGTTGAATAATTCAAGGTAAATTCCCAGCATCAAATGAGCTGGAATAACTGTTAGAAAGTTACTGGACAGGATCATTCAGAAAGCTCTGAAGCACTAAAGAAAAACTGGCACCTGCCGTCTGAGAAGTGAAGTTTCACAAGTGCTCAACCTCAAATGGCACAGATTAAATGCAGAGAAAAACATGTTAATAAAATGTAAACTAAGTAAATCAAATTAAAAAGCAGCCAAGCCAAGCGGAGAGTCGGGAAATGTTAATTCTTGAGTCCAGTGCTAAACCAGCTCTCTCCAGCCAAGTCCACCTGAACATTTGAAACACTGAGGCTCCCTGGCTCAGGGAAAATGTGACCCCCTCCTGCCCACACCACCCAGATCATCTCCAGCTGGGATGAAGTTCATTTATAACTGGCTGCACTCTCTTTCAAAGCCACTGATTACACTTGTATTCTTCCCAACTACCGCTTCTCCACATGACCCTCTTGGAACCCCCTTCTTCTATCCCAGGGGTGGCCAACCAGTGGCTCCAGAGCCACATGCGGCTCTTCAGAAGTTAATATTCGGCTCCTTGTATTGGCACCGACTCCGGGGCTGGAGCTACAGGCGCCAACTTTCCAATGTGCCGGGGGGTGCTCACTGCTCAACCCCTGGCTCCGCCACAGGCCCTGCCACAGGCCCTGCTCCCACTCCACCCCTTCCCGCCCCCTCCTCTGAGCCTGCCATGCCCTCGCTCCTTCCCCTCCCTGCCAGAGCCTCCTGCATGCCACGAAACAGCTGATCAGGAGGTGCGGGGAAGGGCTGATCAGTGGGGCTGCAGGTGGGCGGGAGGCGCTGGGAGCTGGGGGTGCTGATGGGGGCTGCTGACATATTACTGTGGCTCTTTGGCAATGTACATTGGTAAATTCTGGCTCCTTCTCAGGCTCAGACTGGCCACCCCTGTTCTATCCTGTCAGTGTCCACGCACTTCCCAAGCACTACCTTTCTGGCCAAGGAGGACTGAAGGAGGCCCTGTTCCCAGCCCCACACATGGTCAGGAAGGGCTATGCTGTTGAGAAGGGAATAGCTCCCTTTCTGTCCCCCAAAAGCGGGAGAGATTATCACTAACCCTAACAACTAGTTTGGGAAACACTCTCCTTTAATTCTCACATGCACTTATCTGCCATCTTTGTGGGAGGAAACTGTCAAGTTAAATATTTTGGAACAATTATCTGTCACTATCATCATCTTAGATCATTAAAGCTTGGAGTGTTTTAAACACCTACTCCCCATCCATGACCATTTATGCTGTTTGTTTATATTTATTGTACTTCCTCCCCCCCCCCCAACTGTGAAACAAGAAACTTGTCAGTTTCACTCTATTTATAGCCGACTTCACACACAGGCGAAAAGAGATCAATCCCACACTGCCCTGTCAGAGTGTGCCATCACCTTCCCCTCCCCCTCTCAAAACCCCACCTCTTCACAAATCATGAAGATGCTTCTCTTTATAGAAGGTTCGGTAAAACTTTTTAAACACACAAGATTTGGGGCCTACACCACTGGAGAATGTCTCTTTAAATAAAAGGGAGAGGGGAGGAGGGGAAGCTGCTGCCTCATCACTGCTCAAACAAATCCTTTCTCCATTGGTGCTGACAATTCCACCCCCCACCCCTCTTCCAGCCCTGACTGCAGGCAGGGAGGAAAGGGAAACAATTGTAGGGACATTGGGAGGGGTGCGTGGGGAAGGTTGATCACAGAAAGCCCTTCTGAGTGAGCTATTGTCACAATCTGTGTAATGACAAAATGTAGGCTGGCTTGACAGGACATTAGCCCACCAGCCTCTGAACTATGGTGAGCGACAATGCAAAAAAGACTTGTTTATTTTAAATCTTTTTCCAGCAGCCTCAGAAATCAAACAGAAGACACCCACCCTTGTCACGGCCACTGTGCTGATGGGAGTTTATTAAAGCATGTTTTTTAAAAAATAAATAAATAAAAGCAAAAGCACAGGAGACATTCATCTGCCCCCACGCCCTCGGCAGAGCAAAGTCACTTCAAATAACGGCAGTAAGTCGACTAGACATAACGTAGGAGAGTTTTCACCAATGTTGACACAGCAATAAAATCCAATCGCCTTCTGCTGTATAATAGCCTCAGGAGCCCAGGAAACAAAGGGGCTGGGTGCAGTGGCCTCTGGGAGGAGGACGAACCCACCCCACCAACCAGAAATCAGCAGGGATGAAATAAAAAAGGACAATATCTAGCAGAAGCTCTGAGATCCTTCTTCTCCCAGGTATCTGTTATCTGTATGCCTGTCTCCCTCATCAGATATTCCATGCCCTCTCCCTATGCCCCAGTTTGGACACGCATTTGCACACTAGTGCCCCAACTGGCACTACTAGCTGCTCAGAAGTAACCACTCTGAAAAGCTATTGAATCCAGGAGTTGCACGTATTTATCACTGCTTTCAGCTATACAGCATCACATTGGGGCTAGGACTCGGGAGTTTCAGTGCCAAAAGAACACACAAGCCTCTAGTACCTGAACTATTAAGCTGGCAGTAGTAGTAGACCTTTTAATATTCTGTAAGCCAGTGGTTCTCAACCAGGGGTACGTGTACCCCTGGGGGTACGCAGAGGTCTTCCAGAGGGTACAGCAAATCATCTAGATATTTGCCTAGTTTTACAACAGGCTACACAAAAAGCACCAGCGAAGTCAGTACAAACTAAAATTTCATACAGACACTGGCTTGTTTATATTGCTCTATAAACTATAAACTGAAATGTAAGTATAGTATTTATATTCCAATCAATTTATTTTATAATTATATGGTAAAATGAGAAAGTAAGACGTTTTGCAGTAATAGTGTGCTGTGACCCGGTTGTGTTTTATGTCTGATTTTGTAAGCAAGTAGTTTTTAAATGAAGTGAAACTTGGGGTACACAAGAGAAATCAGACTCTAAAAGGGATACAGTAGTTTGGAAAGGTTGAGAGCCACTGCTATAAGCCAACCACTAGCAGGTGACATGATCACACACACACTTGAGCCAATATGTTACAATTCACAAACCAAGAATTACTGTTCTTTCTCCACCCAGTGTAACAGGATGGGGTCTCCAGGAGGCAAGCACAGCATCCTTTTTGCCAGACCCAGAAAGGACTCTATCCTCAGGTGGGAGAAGAAAGCCAAGATATTGCGGTCTCTGAGTCCTGTCCTCCACCCCAGATTGCAGCCAGGCAGTGAAGCTACACACTGCTTGGGTGAGTACAGGTTAGACACACATACAGTTGCAAATTTAAATGAGTGGAGCAAACACGAGTGCAAAGCGGTGTTGCTTGTGCAATAGCAGCTTCATGCCTGCATTAATTGTGGGCCAGCGTGAAAACAGTCCTCCAGGGGATGTGAAAAGCAAACCACAAGTGCTTGGTGACATCATGCTAGAGCGAACATGCCCGCAGGAACCCAAGTGCAAGCGAATCAGACCGACAAACAGCCCTCTAGCCCAGTGCCCTTGTCTCATGGCTTACTCTGCAGTCATCACATAAATGGGGCTTTTTCAGGGCAAGTTAAATCTATCCTCCCTCCCCACTGGGCCTCCTTAAACCCAGAAAAAACGAGCGTGTGCACTGGACGCAAAGCCTTCTCCACTAAGCTGTTTTTCCACCCGCTCAGTTCTGCATCGGTGGCAGCCAACTCCCGTCTCCAAGATTAACACTGTGACACTTTGAAATCTCTCTTAGCTCATCAGACCATTGCATAACACACATGGCCCCAACACAGTTTATAGAAATACCCTAATTAATGGTGCCAGCTGCCACCAGGCACTTGAGCTAGGGTGGAGAAGGAGAAGGGAGGTACTACAGAGCAACACATGGCAGCTTACTGGAGGAAGGTCCAGCCTACTACCCCAAGAGAAGGATCAGCCGAGAACCATGGGTGACCTGGGCTAACACACATTGGCACTGGTGGGGATCACATCCTTCGCTGGTTAATATGGAGTGGATGTCCTAGCTACGCCCACTTCAGGAGCACTTCCCAGTGGCTACAGGAATGACCTGTATGTAAAGTTAGAGTGATGGGGAGTCTGGAAAATAATGGAGACTCAGGAAGATGGCCTGGGTACAAATTTGAGGGATCTCTCTGCACTGGCTTTGGGCAGCTGGGAGTTCACTCAAATTCCTTTGGCTGGGGATGGGCGACAAGAGAGAGCTGTTAAGGGTAGATGACCCCACGCCATCGGATCCATAAAAAGTGGCATGGCTCTATCAGGATTCCCTCCCAGTCCATTTAATAGATTCAAAGGAGGAGAGACGCTCACCAGTTAAATACCTGGTTTAAGAGAGGAGGGCTCCGGACTATAATCGTCCAAATAAAGCATTTCCTCTACAATGGGCTGTGAAGGGACATGTCTGTCCCAGCAGCCGCTGCTTTACTAATACAGCAACCACCACCATGTGGTCACGGTCAAAAGAGTTAAGAAACAGAACAGCCACGGGTCCCTTACCGTCTCTCGTTGCCAAAGAGCCGGGCCACCTCTTCCCTTCCAGGGCTGCGGGCCCGGGTCCTCTGCTCCAGCCGTTTCCTCTCCACCTGGAAGGCCTCCCGGTTACTGATCCTAATGGCCTTGGGAACATCGGCCAGGGTGGCGTACTGCCGACTGGCTTTGAAGGAAAGGGAGCGGTCCGTTCTTTCTGCTCCCCTTCCCCCGTCTCTGCTGCTGGAGTCCTTGTACGTGGGGTAAGTACTCTTTGAATCCAGGGAGTTCAGTGAGAAGCTGGAAACCATTCGGTTGTTTGAGCTGGTACCTGGGGAAGGAAAGGGGTGGCTGTGCTCCTGGGAGGGTGATTTGGGGTAACTGTACCTGTTGTTCGGGGTGCTGGGGCTGGGAGGGGACGGTGGAGGTGGCAAGTGCTGCTCTTCCAACTTGGAGTCTTGCTTGGTCTTCTCCAAGGAAAAGTAACCGCTCTCAACACGCGCCTTCCGCCCACAGTCTATCCGGTCGCCATTCATGGAGCTCTCATCTAAGAAACGGAACAGAAAACAAGGGGAAGGAGTTGGGTGGAGGTTACTACGCTTGGTTCCAAACTTGATTTCGCCTCCCCTCCATTTGTATAAAAGGGGATTTTAACACAAACTGCCTTGCCTCCACAGAAAGGGAAACATCTGCCTACGATTTCCAGCATTACAGTGCCTAGGGACCCAAACCCAAACCTGACCTGGAAGACCCACCTCTGGAAGGAAACCGGAAGTTCAGTTTCAGGATCCATTGCATCTTTGGCTTTTGTGCCCAGAACTACCAGAAAGGGTGATGATAAGAACAGGTTTCTTGTGATGTGGAGACTGACCTGCTAGGAGGTGGACTAGGACCCACCAATCATTAGCATTTCACACTTGGCTTACTGAGCAGCCTGCTATAGGTGCCACATGCAAAGCTCCAATAGACATAGGGTGGGATGGGTGCTTGAGACTTATTTACAGAGGGAAAAACTGGACAATGACAACAGGGGCTTCCACAACAGGTGGGAATGTAGATAGCAGAATGCTATCAGGTGCCCAGCCAGCTTCTCACATCTGGTCAGGAGCAGCCATACTGCAGAAGGGCCAATAAAGTCTCCCCTTATTTCTTTGAGTCCAAGCAGGCAAGGATCTGACCCACTCTGTCTCCACAGAGTCTGGGAGAAGGGACACAACAGGGAAGAGCGGGTGCTTTGTTAAGACACAAAGAGGAGGCTTCTTCTCAACAAGTTGTAACTGCATATATTAGAAGGAAGCTCAGCGGTTCAGCCAGCAAACACCAATGCATTGCCTAATCACAAGTAAAATCAACTTTGATTCCAGTTTAAAAAAAAAGAGAGAGAGAGAGCAAGCGAGTGCTCAGTGGTTTCAGCATTGGCCTGCTAAACCCAAGGTTGTGAGTTCAATCCTTGAGGGGGCCACTTAGGGATCTGGGGCAAAATCAGTACTTGGTCCCGCTAGTGAAGGCAGGGGGCTGGACTCAATGACCTTTCGGGGTCCCTTCCAGTTCTATGAGATAGGTATATCTTCATTTAAAAAAAAAGAAAAAAAGGTACAGGAGAGGGGAACAAGAGAGTGGAAGGTGTGTTAATAGCTGGAGGAAGCATGGCTCCATCGGCAGCTCTATTTCTTCCTCCACAGAAAAAATGGGGAGCTAGGAGAGCATTGAGGCCTCATTGCAAGATGAAAAACAGCTGTATGCATTCTTTTGCCAGAGTGAGTTAGTGACCACCAGCCTCCATGCCAGCACAGACAAAGGCATTAAGGAAAGGGGAATCCCTTCACACTGCTCTTGCTACCGAGGGCACAAGGAACAATTCCCGTTTTGCATTCACACCACCACAAAATTGTGCACGAGCATTTGTTTTCAAGGGCCAAAATAACCTGCATCTAATCACCACTGCACTTCCTGAATTGTTGGCCTCTAGAAGATTCTCCATATGTAAGTTTGGAATGTGGAGAAAATCGTTCTGTTCCAGGCAGACTTGACCTGCTGGTTGATTGGTTGGTCGGTAGGTAAGTGTGAATGTATACACGCACGCATGCAGGGAAGAAGGGGAGGCAGCAGAGAGGTCTACATCCAGCAGCAACTTTCCCATCCATTCTGAAGATCATAAGCTGGATGGTAAGTTATTTTGTTTTCTCCAGCCAAAAAACAAGTGACCGAAAAGCAGCATCTGTGGAGGTACAACACACACACACACACACCCCCTCCTGCCCATGGCCACATCCCAAGGTGTCAAGGGCAAAAGCCTATTGATTCATCAAAACCAGGGCTTTGCTGACACCAGCTAAATCAGAGAGACGCAAAGGGAGCAGTCTTCTTCCATTAGCTAATCCCAAGAGAGCAAGGAGGAAAGCAATCGTTTTAGCTAGCCGCTCAGAACATACAACAAACTCAGCTTTCCCCGCCGCCCCCGATTTATCCAAGGGGAACACAAAGCAGGAAGAAAGCCCGGGCCTCTATTGTTTCATTTAGAACAATACAGCAGATTCCGGAGGCTTCCAGGGACTAATCAGAGGAGACAAAATGTAAACAGCTGCCCTGATATAGGGTTGGGAGGAGGAAGCAGTGCCTCAGTGCTTGGCAATAAAACAGGACCAACTGTAGGCAGGTGTCTCTCTGTATCCATTAGGGCACTATTTCCCAAAGGAACCAACCGGAAAGCTGGGATAGGTCACGGGCCCAGTCCAGAGGGGAGACCATTGGGGAGGGAGGGGGGTTGGATAGCGAGCCCACCCCACACTCATCCTGCAGCGAGTGCTCCTGTCCCATGGAACTGGGCTGAGAGGGTTGCTTGGGTGGTCGGTGCCCCATTCGTGGGGCGAGGCGGAGCCGGCAGCAAAGGAAGCTAGCCTCTGATTTTGCCTCCTTGCTCCCCATGCATCAGGCCCCCGGGTGGGTGGCAAAAATTAAGACAAAATGCAGTTGGTGGGCTGCCTTAGTGAAAAGTTTGGGAACCACTCAGTGGCTAGTATAAAGGGGGACGATCAATATTCAAAAGCTCATTTATTCCAAAGGAAATTTCCTTGCCTTGGAATCGCACCCGTTAGAGGTGGAAAAGACCTGTGAGGTCATCCCGTTCTGCTCCTTGCCTCTGCCTTCCAGTACTTTATCCAGATTTTCCCCTTTCTTAATTTCATCCCATTATTCACAGTTATTCCCCTCTCCTCCCTCCCCCCCGGTACCATCCTATGGAATGCCGCAAGTGTAAGTGTTCAGATCTTTGTAGACTGACACTGGGCTGAGCCATTCTCACCGGATTAAAGTATTGAAAGTGGGAGAGGGGGAGGAGGAGGGAGAACAGGATAGGAGGGGAATCCAGTGGTGAAAAGAAAACTAATGTCAGTTTCTTCTTAATTTGCACTTCACTCAGTTCAGAACAATGAAATCAGCCCTAGTCCATGACTGTGCCTACCCAGGCACTGCCTCAATGTAAATAATATCACCTTCATCAACAGGGCAGTTTCCTTCTGTTTCTCTATGGCAGTCGTGGGATCTTGGGTACTAACAGGTAGTTGGGTTTCCAAACCAGTAGGGGAACCGTTACATTTGTTTAAAACAATAAATAATAAATAATAATAATATTACACAGACAAGAAACCATTTCTATTCATGCTTTTAAATAAAAGCAAGTTTAGACCAAACTTTTTGACTAGGTCCCATTAAGAAAGCCACACTACTCCAGTCAAGACAGCTATGTAATCAAACCAAACTGCTGCAGGAAAACCTTCCACCCTAGTAACAACTTGGGGTTAATCAGCCATTAACAGCAGCATTTTGCACTTTGAAAGCACCTTCCATCAGAGGATATCAAAGCACTTTACACACAGGAGGCTTCACAACATCCCTGTGAGGTAGGTAAGGTATTAGATCCACCTTTCAGAGGGGTAAGTTGAGGCACAGAAGTGTTCGGGGGGATTTGATCAACATAACCTATTGGGGCAGTGGCAGAGCCAGGAAGTGACATTGCTCACTGCTCCCATGGACTTCCTGAAGTTGCAGGTGCTCAGCAGTTTCTGAGCATCAAGCCATAAGAGTCTCATCTTCCAGGCCCTGCTCCAGTCACTACACAGCACAACCTCAGGGTGAAAAAGAAAGCTCCCCACCAATCAAGTATCGAATGCTGCCAGGATAGAGGAGAACAGGAACCAGTGCCAGCGTCCCTCTGGTCCTTACCTTCTTTGCTTTCCAACACAGGTTCCTTCAAGGAGCTGGCAGGCATGGCCTGGCTCTGCATGGGGCTCTGGGCTGGGCTGATGCTACTGTTCCCATCTGGTTGATCTTTGCCCCTCATTTCTTCTTGCCAGAGGGTGGACTTGGTAGTGGGGACCTTCTCTGCATTAGGAATGTTGCTACTGGTCACAGCCATCTTAGCGGGGCCAGGTTCCTAAAGAGAACAGGAAAGAGACACTGGGTATCACTGCACATTCTCTAAGTCCTAGCGCCAGTCATCCCGACTTACCATAGCAGGTAGGTCCTTATCTGGAGATACATGGACCACTTTACCCCAAGCTCTTAGGCCACATGGCATTTCGACGCCCTTACAAAGGGGTGTGTATATTTCCCTTCCCTGAATGATCTGATTTATACATTTCAAATGCTGGCAGGTCTAAGCGTTTCTCCCAAGTGGGACAGGCTAATTCAAGACTTCCTTAAGCAAGGCGGTTAAGCACCGCTCTTACAAAGAAAAAGGAAACGTCTTTAATATGCTCTCCTGAGGGAGGGATCCAAAAATGGCCCACATCTCCCTCTCTGTCCAGCTGGAGAAAGAAACCAGAGCAAACGTAAGCTCACAAATGAAGGAAACCTACTGACCCTGAGAAGCAGCAGATATACATGGTAGGGGCCTCTTTGCTTTGCTGTGCTTTGTTTTCCAGTAGGAACTGCCCCTCCCAGTTCGGCAGACAGGACGCAGCACAATACCAGCGCTTTTAACTATTCACTTGTGTAAAGTTCCCGCTCACGAAACCATGGATTAACCACGCCTTACAGCTCAGCCAATCAACGCCAGCCCTGACGGTGATGCCTGCTGCTGGCCCTTTCCCAAGTAGGCGTGCTGTAGGTCTGGTGCGTCTGAGGCATGCTGTCACCAGACCAATGAGCACAGTACACACATTTGAGATAGAGAAAGATCCCGTTGAAATAGATTCTAATCTATGGGGATCAGCTTCCTTGAGGGGCTACTGAGACCTAGCAAACTCACTTCATTTTGACCCAACCAAGGACAAGAATGCTTGTGAAAGGCCGGTACTATCACTTGCCACAGAACCACCTCAGTACAGACCAATAGGAGTTATAAACACTTACACGGCAGTATAGGTCTAAGATGTCTCGTTGGTGGAGGATCTTACGAGATTATTATTATAACACTTTCTTCCCCAAGGATCACAACTACACACAGAAATCCAGCAATGCAACCACCCCTGGGGCAGACGGTGGGAGATGGGATATTTTGGCCAACCAGGGCATTGAACATGCATTCTAAAAACCCTTGATGGATTTTTATTGTATTCTGTGACATTTAACATATGGGCTACCTGCTTTGACCCCTCCACAAACGTTTACTCTGAAGCATCCTCACATCCACGAAAGGTACACCTCCACCCCCTCCCCTCTCTCTCATATCTTCTGAGGACTGGAAAAATCAACTTCAGCTGCGAATCATTTCCATCAGGATGGCAAGGAACAGCTGGCCCTGGACACCACTTCAAGTGGAAGGCCGCACCGGGCTCTGCATTCTTCGGCCTGGAGCGTGACTTTCCCCTCAAAGCAACGTTTCACAAACTGTCAGCACCCGAGAGAGCAGCGAACCTCGCCAAGAGGGGAAGCTTTGAAGCCCAGCCAGGCCCTGGATCTTCGGAAGCACGGCCAAGAGTGAGAGCTCTCAGCTGACAAATGTGCCCATCCATTGGCGAAGCTGCCCTCGCCCGGTCCATCAACAGGGGATGTGGAGGATGTCCTTGAGCCAAGGCGCCGTGTGTGTTGAACTCTTGCCCAGAAGACCTTCTTAGAGACAGGACTTCTGGAGCCCACTGAGTCACATTTCAACAAGGTTCCATTTGCAAGAAGACAACAATTACCTGACAAATTCTCCTGGCTAGAAACAATGAGCACAGCCTACTTCCCAGGGCTCCTCCTAAAGGGCTCCGCTGGTTCAGACAAAGAAGGGCTTTATGTGACTAGAAAGCAGATTATACTTTAAGGGAGGGGAGGGGTTAGAGGAACACCTGAGTTGCACCCCCCCCTCCACGAGTATACAGTTAGAACAGGGGTTATTTTTCAGATAATGCAAGTCCCCCCCTCTAGCCTGGTTTTCCAGCTATTTCCTGCCCAGGTACCAGCCCCAAGCTGCACTTCCTGCTGAGAGAGAGATTAGCGGCTTCACAGCATTACTGCCTGGGAGCCCAGAGACGGGGCTACAGGCGGAAATGTCACATGCCTTTTTCCTCTGGTTTACACCCATTTTTAAACAGCAGCTCCTCACCTTCACTTTTGCAAGGTGCTGTCCATTTCTACCAGCAAGCCACAGAACCCCCGGCAGGTGGCATATGGGCTAAGTCAGTATCCGGAAGGGCTTCCGACTGTCAGCAGCGGGGCACATCTGAGCCCTTCTCCTCACCTGCATGCTGTCGCTGCAGCATAGCAGGTGTGTGGCTTTGACTGCTGGATTGACAAGCCCCCGTCACAGCAATCCTACATAGAGCCAAGAGATCTTCCATTTTGTTTTTGACTTCAAGGCTTTCTGCCCACCTATATCTATCAATCTGATATCCCCCACGTTCTCTACCCTAGCCTTCTACCTCCAGCCAAGAAACAGACAGTAAATCAGTTCAGCTGCTAGATTTCATGCTCATGCAATGGGAGTCTTCTCACTGCCTTACACACCCCCAGGTGTGGCACCAACAGTGCAACTTCTACAGAGCACACCTGACAGGTGATGCTCCATGAAGCAAATAAACCAAATCTCTTTCCCTGTGTGTGTACACACAACCAAATCCCCTTCCCTCTGTGTACACGTACATACACTTATTTCCCTCAGTCTCCTGCCATTGACAGTCTTGCTCTTAAACCCGGCTGCCCTTAACATACGTCCCATGACCCCCCTAGGCCTCTCTCCTCTGCCAGCCAATAAACTGAATTTGCTCACATCAGAAAACATTTTTTGTGCAATGGCTTCAAAAAAGAATTAAAACTAGAAATTCATTCCCTACTGTCCAACAGCTGCAGTCATCGTTTGTCTGGTCTGGTTTGCAACGAGCCACAAATAAAGAAAAAATGCAATGCCTTAACACCTGAGATGCCTAAATGGAGATTTACTTTAAAAACAGAAGAGCTATTTAACACAATTTAAAATGCAATTAAGGAAATACTAGTTCTTTTAAATGCATCTCTAAGTACGACTGGCCCTAACATAAATCAGCGACAGCTGCCATTTTACTCAGTATCCTTGCAACAGGAAGCCCAATCCACTGACTTAGTTTGTGATGGAGGAAGGACAGTTTAGCAGGTTAACGCATGAGACAGGATAGGGACTTTCACAACTGGCGTAAAGTTCAGTTCTATTAATTAGGGAATTTTTTAGAATTTTTCTTAAAGCCATTGGGTACTTGTCAGAACAAACCAGTGATCAATTAACCACAGCCAGAAATAATATTTAAGGAAATTGTGACAGCCCTTCCCAATGTCTCTCAACCACTTGAGACACGATGGGCAAATCAAGGTGAACCTTAACTACTGTATTAGGCACAACGGGCCTGTAAACCTATAAACTTACTGGCTACCCAAGCACACTGCTTGCTGCTGAGAGTTATCCCACTGCAGTCAGCAGGACTGTGTGTGTTATGAAGAAGAAATAAGTGTTTGTAGGCTCAGGCCCTTAGATGCTCTGGTGATTTTATATATAGAAAAGAATCTGGTCTCCTGCTCTCACATGAATATATTATAAATACACCAATACACGCATATGCCTACCTAATCGTCCTCGAAAATGAATTGCCTCAATTTTTAGACACCTGAGATATTTTAATGGGTTATTTTCAGAGAGTGAAAACTCAACCCATCTTCTGAAGGTCCTTTAAGATGTCTCCAACTGGGCACTCAAAGTTACTAATCTCCTTTGAAACTTTACTCCATCTATATGTATTAATGAATACGTACGCACATATATCCAGACAGAGAGAGAGAGAGAGAGAGAGAGATTGAGAAGGACACAGTTGAGCAAAGCAGCACTGCCTAGGCAAGTAGGCAAGGCTGCTTCTTTCCGTTTCTTTAGCTGTTCAAATTTTGTATTATATTGTCACCCCTTTACCGAGTTGTAGCAGAAGCCTGGGCCTTGGAGACCAGCTTTCAGTGGGAGCTGAAATCAGTGCAGCACACAAACAGAAGTCCTGGAACAGTGGTGGCGACAAATTGCACGGAGCCCAATCCCTTCTTTCAGGGATCTCCGCCCAAATACCGATATCCTCGTTTCCAGAGAGCAATTCTGCACCAAGAACTGACTCCAGTTAGAGAGATTAAGGCAGAGAGCAAGGTCCCTTGCTGCTTGTCATGCCCCCCCCCTCGGAAAAACATCAGAAAACTAGCCACCTGCCTGCATTTCCTTCTGAGATTAAAAAGATGCTCATATGCAAAGAAAAAACACTACATTTAACAGCGCCATCCACTGACCCCTGCCTTGATATGGTTTCTGTCTGGGGAAGAGCGGAGATAATAACAATTTTCACATTTTTACAATGAGATGAAGCCATGAGAACAAGAGCTGAAAACAGAAGACAGTTTTCCATGGAAGTGGTCCCTTCCGGATTAAAAATCAATGACGTTTTCCAGCCACCTAGAAGTGTTTGCAGGTAAAAGGAAAACAGATCACGAAAGTGACCAGAGCGGCCAGTGCTGCTGCAGACAATATTTGTTGCTGGATTAGGGGTATTTTTTATTTTCAAAAGGCTCTTTTCCTGCAGAAGGAGAGAGGCCTGACAGGCAGCCAAGTTCAATAGAAGCCCTTTCAAAGGGATTTCTTTTCTGGTAACGGTCTCTCCACCCCCTTTGACAAGCCGCACCGAGTTTGTGGTGACAGGCTTCTGGCGCGGTGGCCTGAACCACTCTAACCGCTCCGGTGCTGCGTGGCCAGAGCGTGAGGCTGGGATCAGATCATTTCCAGGCTGCTTTGGGGAGAAGGAGAAAGAGAATGGGAAGTTGTGGCTGCTTTCCATTTGACACAAGGAGGAAAGCAGATGGGGAAGCGGGTAGAGTTAGTGAGGAATGCGTGAAGGTAAAGATAAAAAGTCCCGCTCTGGCTGGTGCTTAATGCTATCCTGCCGGAGCTGTTCTGGCAAACGAAATCTCTGTAGCAACAGATACACATGGAGTTTCCTGCCTTCCATTCCAGCT